CTTTTTTTCTATTCTTTTTTTCATTTTGTTGTTGTTCTTGAAAAGATTACAAGCTCAGCTTTGGCTAAAGGATCTTTACATGAAGCACAGAACATTTTGGCATCCCCCAAGTTCTGCTTTATCCCCTCCCCTCCTTTCCTTTCAGTATTCTATTTCTGTAATCAATAAGGAAGCAATTCTGGAGTAGGGTAGAGCTCCTCCTGTGCCGTGGGTGCTCAGGGTGGCTGCAGAGCTGGAATTGAGCAGCAGAGCTGGAATTGAGCAGCAGAGCTGGAATCTGAGAGCACACCCACCTTCCCTGGTCCTCCCTCTCACCCTGTGCCAAATTTCTCCTCCCCAGCAGGAACGTGCAGGGCAGAGAAGGCAGCAGCTGCTCTGCACCTGGGGCTGCAATCCTGGCGCTTCTCAAGTGTTGTTTAATAATTTTGCACAGATCAACTGGTTTTGAATAGCGCACACTTCATTCTGTTCAGCAGGTTTTTAAACTCTCGTCGTGCCTTCATGGATCATTGCACCTTTTCTAAGGCACAGAATTTGTCCACATTGTTAAACCAAAGTGTTCGTGCCTGCCATGCTGTCCTTCCCTCCAGTTCAGTGCATTTCAATGGGGGTTAAATGCTAAAACCACTCTGAAACTTCCCACACCCATTCCCATCATCACAAGCTATCCCTGGGCTCATCCCTCCTCCCTCAATTTCCTGATTCTCTTCCTCAGCAGAGTGAAATGGTGATCCCCAGAGAAAGGGAGCAGAGGCTTCTTCCCTAAAACACGAGGGTGTCACTMTTTGTGGTGCCAGAGCTGCTCCTCAGACTCTCCTGGTGTCCCCACAGAGCTCTGTGTGACTGAGGCTGCCCCTCCACWAACCCCCTGCTCTCCTGAACACACAGCACTTCAGTAAATGTTCTGCTTTTCCACATCTCTGCTTTCCTGGGTGATGGAGATTCCTTTCAGTCTTGCCCTGAACTCCTCGCTGTCCATGTCAGGCCTGAGGATAAATCCCAGACTGCATTCAGTTCCTGTCCAGAGGAGCTCTCCAGGAGCAGACACGGTTCTGGCTGTTGTCACTGTCTGTCTGTAATGCTCCTGTGGCTCATTGCAGCCATGGGGTTATTTTGGGGGCTCTGAACTGGGTCTGTGTTGGGCTGTGTGCTCCTGCAGCTCCTCACTGTCACAGCCAGGCTGTGCTTCTGTCCCCAGTGAGGGACACTCAGAGTCCAGTGAGGGACACTCAGAGTCCAGTGAGGGACACTCAGAGTCCAGTGAGGGACACTCAGAGTCCAGTGAGACATCAATGATCTGCTGGGATGAAATGTCTGGGGAGTGGCTGCTTAAAAGGAGATGCTCAGCTGCATCTGGAGAGAGGGGTTTGTGGAGGAGCCATGGAAGATTTTGGCTTTCTTTTTGTGTTGTTTGTGTGGTGTGGAGAGATGTCAAAGAGATATTGTGTGAGATATGAAAGGGCTGATGCCTGACCCTTCCCCTGTGTCTGTCGGGGTGTGATGGGGTCTGGGAACACCCCGAGGTGCTGCTGTGGGAGATGGGTGTCCCTGTGGTGGGGTCTCTGCTGCAGCATTTTGCTSTGTCCTCCTCCCACATGAGAACTTTGCAGGGTGATGGTTGTGCCTGCCAGGCTTTCAGCAGAACCAAAATCTCCTGAGGGGTGAAGAGCCAAAGAGCTGTGAGTGAGTTGTGTGTCCTGGGGTGTCCTCACAGGATGTGAGCGGGGAGCTGAACCTGCCTGCAGAATGAGCCAAAAACAGGCACTGCTTGTTTGMCATCAGCTCCCATTCCCTCTGTTCCTCTGCTCACCCAAAGGTGCACAAACCTTTGTCACCTGAGCATCAAAAGGTTCCCCAGTAACTCCTCCTGATTGCCCTCTGTTTCTGTGCTGGACTGGTGTAAAATGAGGAGGTTGTGACCGGCTGTGCAGGGCAAATTGTGCTTTTTGACAATTACTTGTGGGGGCTGGAGCCAACCACCTGCTTCAAAGCCCAGAGAGGTTAATAGCAGCTCTCTTTCTCCTGACCTGCATTTGGGAGCACATCGTAGCTGTTCTGCTCCCTTGCAAACCATCTCAAACAGTCTCTGGTGCTGTCAGACAGCTGACAATGGATGCTGACAGATCCTTTAAACAGCCTGGCTCCGTGCATTGGAGATGAGAGGGTGCTGTTCCGAGCATTTGCTGATTCTTCTGACTGTGTGGTGTTTGCAGGAGGCATTTGAGAGCTTTCCCCCTTTGCTCCCTCTGAACAGGAGCAGCAGCTCTGGAGGATTCTGTGTGCTGAGGTTTGGGCAGCTGTGCCCACATGGCTGAGCCATTCTGACAGAAATGGGGACAGCTCTGGTGCTGCTCCCTTCCAGCAGCATCACGGCCACTGTGACAGCCAGAGTGTGCCTGAAAGAGGGGCAGGGGACAGGGACAGAGGGCAGGGGACATTGTGCAGCCCACAGGGCACTGCTGGCACCCCAGAACTCAAGATTTCATTCCCTCCTCTCTTCAGAGGGTGACATGGCAATGCTGGTCTGGAGCACAGGGAATCACAGCTCCATGGAGACCTGCACAGATCTGTTCTTTGTCCTGGGCCTGTGGTGGGTCCCAAGGGGAACAGGAGTGCTGGACATTCCTGTACATGCTCCAGGTTTCCTCCAGATGAGCCAAATTTACTTTGTAGCACCAGTTGCAGTAAGGTCAGGGAATGACCCATGGCAGTAATTAATTAAATAAGCACCAACTTTAGTCCGTCCTGCTTTATCACTGGATTAGGCTGGATTTCCCTTTGAATTGTTTGGTGTGCTTGTACCCAACAGAGCAAACCCCAATTCAGACAAAGAGCTGAAACAACAGGGGCTCTCTTTAGGTTTTCTCATCCAGGCTGGATTGTTTTCTCATCCAGGCTGGATTGTTTTCTGATCCAGGCTGGATTGTTTTCTGGAAGATCCCCTTCAGTGATTCCTGAGCTCTGAACTCTCTACAAGACCATGGGTGAACCACAGGGCAGTTACAGATCCTGATTTGTACTTGCCTTTTGGTCAGAGTATGAATGACTGGATGTCTCTGTCTAGACATAAAACCTGGGAAATTTGTAAACCCAGACTGATATTTTTATAGCTACAATTAATGTCCATCTTTCAGTGCCCTAATTTAGCACCTTTCTTGCCTGCTGACAGGAAGATGAGAACATTTGATGCAGCAAGAAGAGAATCTGAAAAATTAGCTGCTGTCTTGTCAGATATTAGTTATTCCCYTGATCCAGCCTTGATGTTTATCCCTCCCTCTTTGAGTTTTCTTAATTATTTCTGTCTTGTATTAATTCTCCCAGAACTCCCTWGATGTAAGCTTTATGGTTTAGAATCTCAACTGCTCATTCAATTAATGGGCTTGCTTAATGTGCTTAAACTTTCCAGAGACACTTGTGACACATTATGAGGGAGGCAAAAAAAGATTCCGAGTATGCTCCATCTCATTTGTGGTACTCCTGAGCCTGAAGTCCATTTTAAGCTCTTTACCAGATTATCTGGATTTATTATTTTTATATTCTTGTGCTCATTAAGCATTAATGTGGAAGGAGTATTCTCTCCAGGAGAGTGACTTGGTTTCCTTTGCCCCATCCCTCTCCACCCTCTGTCAATAAGCAGCTGGAGAAGGATCTGAGGAGCTGATTTAAAAATGGYAAATACTCAAAATGGCAAAATATAAATACAGATCTTTTACTTTGTATATGAATGTTGCATATTTTTTGAGCAAAACGAAGTGTCTGCCAGAGATTTTCTCTATTTTTTCTTGGCTCAGTAAACCCTAATCCCTGTTAATATCTGAAAAGATTTGAGGCAGGTTTGCAGAGGAAAACCACCCTGTGTTTCAGGATATTCCCCAGTGACTCCTACATGAGTTATCTCAGTAATTCCAGAATTTAAACCCTGGCTCAGTAGGATCCCACAGGATCGGGGTCCCAGTGCAGGACACAGAGCAGCCCTGACAGGGGAACAAAGGGCATTTCAGTGGCACAGCCACATGGCACCAGCTGGGGTTAAAAAAATTTAAAAGATTAAAACCACAGGACATGGACTGTGCTGGAAACCATCGCCTCTCTCTGCAAAGCAGAGKGCAAACCTGGATTGAGATAAAATCCAAGCTCACATGCATGAATACAGCTGTATAATTCATGCTGTACGTGAATAATGTAGAATAATCACATTCTACATGAATGTTATACATGAATGTTTGTGTATATAATCTAAAAGTACACACACACATATTTATAAATATATTAGAACACCCTTCCTGACCAAGAAAGGGTCCTGTCTGCCAAGATGCAGATTAAATACATTGCTACATTGTGGTTTTATAGAAATAATCTCTGTGCTCAGGACCTTGATTTTGTGCCCAAAGATCCCTGAAACCAAGAGAGGGTGGATGAGCTGTAGTACCCAACCCACACTCTCATTTCAGCAGTGATTTCAGAGAATGCCACCGAGCAACTGCAAATGTGGTGTTTTGTTAAAACAATTACTGAGAAGTTCTAAAAAATAACGCTTCTGCTGCACTTCTGCTCATGAGCCATAAGGGGATCTTTGTCTTTCAGCCTCACACTGCTCAAGGAAAAGGGAAAGGATTCTGCTTTATRGCTCTGAGTCAGTCTTTTTCTTACTAACATATGGCCCCATTTTTTTTTCCTGGTTCTTTAAGCAAGTTGTAAACATAAACGTTGATGCACATGGAGTTTGATTCATGAAGAGTTTAATTTGCCTRGTATAAAAGATTCACACAGGTTATATAACATCATTAAATTATTTTTGTAGTTGGAGTAGTATCCTTTGAGGAAAACAGAAACTCTCTCCCCGGGGTCCATTTATCACTGTTTGCTTCTAATTAGAAAACTGGAAATGCAATATGCATGACTTACATCTTCATGTTGTCTTTGGACTGATGTATCATCCTTGCTTTTCCTCAGGAACTTTTCTTCATTTCCTAATTTTTTTATATATATATTTTTTTAAGGTTTCTGACAGCTGCGACTCCATCTTCGTTAATGGCAAGGAAATGAAAAGCAAAGTGGATACTATTGTTAACTTCACTTATCAGCATTTCACCACCCAGCTGGAAGTGACGGTCTGGGTTCCACGGCTGCCGCTGCAGATTGAGATCTCTGACACCGAGCTCAGCCAGATCAAAGGCTGGAGGATTCCTGTCACCTCCAACAAAAGGTAAAATTGTACTTTTACTCGCTCCAGACAGCGCTCAGGGCCTCTGGTTTTAGAGCAGAGCAATTTTAGAGCCTTTCTCAGGGTGTAAACCCTCCTGTTTGCCATTGGCTTTACAGCTTTCATTAACACACCCAGCAATGCTGTGTTTTCTCCTGATCTGTACAGTTTGAAAGGCTTTGCCTGGAGCAGGAATCAATTCCACCCAATCTGAGGAAATCACATCACACATTGCCATGTGCAAATCTGAGAAAAAGCACCAGGACTCTCCTGTGGGTGTGACTATGTCTGTGTGTGTGTGTGACATTCAGCACTGCCAGAACCCAGGTTTCCACCAGGAAAAAGTGGAAAGGGACAAAAGGAGCGAGGATTTTGAGCTCTGATCCCATTATTCCCTACTGAAAATTCCCTTTCTATAATCACCATCATTTGCACAATTTGMAAGATTAAGAACTTCCAGGAACTGCTCTGTTGGTGGGTTCAGGTGAAGTTGRAAAATCTTGCTGGGGAAAGGGCGTGACACCAGCTGGGATTTGTAAAAGTTCAGAAGCCTTTCTGTGCTGCTGAAGGGTCTTAAAGAGCCCAGAGAGCAGAGGAGGAGAATTACCCAATGCTTTTGGGGGCACAAAACTGAGGGCAGCAGGACACAATGTGCACCATACTCAGATGAGGAGCTCAGAGAAGGGGAATGATTTACCCATTGATTATGTGGAGATTTTTTGGCTGTGATGAGAATCTGGCACCAGAGGAATCGAGTTTTTTGCTCCAGTGGCAAAGGCAGTGCTGCTGTTGATGGTAGGAGAGCTGTTCTGGGTGAGGAATGAGTGATTTGGGCTGATGGTTTAAATCTCCACCGAACTGCCCTTCCTGTCCCACCCTGAGCCACAGATCCTGCTAAAAACAGTGAATTTTGCTGATCAGACAGCTGCAGGATCAGGCTGGAGGTGTTTATTGCACGAGTAAACTTTGCCATGAGTGAGACATTGAGTGTTCAACAATCCTGAGAGTTCTGAAGTGAAACCCTGCTGGAAATGAAYCCTGGGGGCTGCTGCTGATTTATTTGGCCACAGAAAGGAAGGGAATGCTCCAGAGCCTGCTCTGCTCACATCTGGAATGTGAAAAAACTCTGCAGAGTTTTGGTGCAAAGCTTTGCTGCTGCCTGGATGGAGCTGCTGGCTCAGCTCTGCAGCATTTTCTGGGAGCTGGGATGGAAATTGGGGACACGGTGACATTCCCATGGCATGGGGTGGCAGTGGTCTGTGCCCACGGGAAGGATTCAACAGGAAAGAAATGATCTCTTGTTTTATTGACCACTCACATGGATTTTTTAACTTTGCAGGGGTGTTCAGAATCGATACTCAGTGCAGGGCTGGCATTAGTTGTGCTCACTCTGACATTTACTTTGTACATAAGGTTTTTACTTTTCCTTTATTTTTAGATTTGGAAGATTTTTACCTGAGATTTAGGGGCTTTTCCTTTAGGTTCTTCTTTATTATTATGACTTTTCTCTTTACTTTTTAATCTGCTTACACCTCCATCTCCTATATGTTTCCCAAAATCCTAACCACAAGGGGAGTTTTTATGAGTTTTTAAGGGATAAGCTGAGGCACTCCAGACATTTGTGCTGCAGTCAGGAACTGTAGGTTTGTAGGAGAATGAGCAGAGTGCTTTTATCTTTGAAAAAAAACCCAAATCCAAGCATTTCCCAGCAGATGTGAAGCCACAGCATTGTGCTGCTTCTACTTCACCTTCATGTAAGAGCCTCTCTTGGCAATTTGCGTGAGGTTTTTGATATTTATCCTCAAAGGAACCTCCAGGATTCTTCCCAAAGTCCCTGCAAACAGGCTGAGGCAGCCTTAAGCTCAGGTTCAGTCACACAGAGCCCAAAAATGAACTGAAACCATGTCACTGTGCAGGATTGCAGTGTGGCTTCTTCACACCTCACCTCAGCACAAACAAAAGGATTTTCTACTTTCCCCCAGTCCCTTAGGGTTGGTGTCCTCWCAGCACTCTTTGTCTCCTCAGCAGGAACTAAACATTGCTATAAAGTTATCCATATTTAGAGCAGATTAAAATTTGGAGCCTTTTTTACAGGGATTGTGCAGAGACATTTGAGCAACATCCAAACCTTTCCTGTCCTCTGGTTCTCCCAGGGCCCCATCCCACACCCACAGTGTGTTTGAGGGGCTGAGCCAGATGGTAAAACACAACTTTTAAATGTCTTTTAAACGTTTTTATTGGTGCTGTTAACAAAGGAAATGTTTGTGAAACCTGTGCATCAGCACTGCTGYTCTGTTTCAGACTGAGAAAGGTTTAGATGGCCCAGATCACATCTGCTCCCCCCAGTGATGGCTGCTGAGCCCATAAAATGCCTTTTTTCTCCCTATAAACCCTGCCATGTTTGTACCTGTAAAATAATCACGTTTGCTGATTTGAATTCTTGAATAATTCCCACAAACCGATGGAAAAATTGGGTCTTGACAGAACTTTTACAAATGCCCCGTGCACAGTTTGAACTGTGTTGGTTTTTAGCTGGTCTGAACTGCTGTAGAGAGCAGAAAGGAATAGACAGGCTGGTTTTATGTCAGGGACTGGAAAAAAAAAAACCCCCAATTAATCTGTAACTCTCAATTCTGTGTAAGAACAGCAACACAATTTCTGCAAATATATGAAAAATCTTGATTATCATCAGGAGAAGAGCTCTCTCTTTGTCAGTGCTGCTGCAAACAGGAAAAACCTCCCTTKCCAGGGGAAATTCAGCTCCTCAATCCCCTCCTAAATGCAGGGAGAGTGGTGCCCTGCTCAAACCCACAGCAAACAGCAGGTGGATATTTAAATGAAAGGTGTATATTTAAATTAAAGTCAAATATTAGAGTGGAGCAGAAGTCCAGGCAGACTCTGCTAGTCTAACAAGAACATTTATTTCTATTCCTCATGCATCTGCAAAATAATTGCCTTCCTCTCCAAGTTCCTGCACCAGCTCTGTTCACACATATTTACATGGGATGAGTGGCTTGGGCCTGCATTAATAGGAACTGCATGGCCAAAGTCTCAGAGAACAAGGTGGAAATTTAATTTCAGTAAATATTTGCTGCTGGGATGGTTTTCAGGAGGCTCCCAGGGAGTCCAGCACCTCATGGTGTGACCAGCAGGGCTTCACTTTAGGCACAGTTACTGGGCTTGGACTGGTCCTGTCCATATGGAGACAGAAGCAGGAAAGCTGGCCTGAGCTGAAATTTAAAAAAAAAAAAATAATAGGACAAAATAAACCGCTTTATTGAACCCTCGCTGAGTGCTGCCCCTCAGAAATAAAGCTGAGCTTTAGGGCAGGTGAAGGGCCTGGATTCAAACCATCCCATTTGTGAGTAACACCCTCTGCACAAAACATCCCATAAATCTCCTCCTTTGGTTGATTTGGTTAATGTCCTGTGGAGATAAGGCCTGAGAGATTTTTGGTAATAGGTAAGCTGTATTTTCAGGATTTGTAAAAGTACCAAATTGCTTTTCTTCTTGAACTGTGAGTGGAGTTATGTGCAGCTCATTTCTAAATCAACTTCCAGCGCTTTGTAGTTTGTATCTGAAAGAGATTTGTTTTTCAATTAGGGGCGTTGCAAATGTTTTTTAACTACACAACTCTTTGGAATGAGTATTTCAAATTCCAAACTAGCAAAACTGATTTCTTTTGGGTGATTTTTTTTTTTTTTTTAGCAGAGATTTAGCATCTGGCCCAAGAGTGTGATGTAGTTTGAGAGTGGTGCAGATTAAARGAGACAAACTGAGGCAGCTCAGGGACAATGTCTGTAACGTGGAGCTGACAGATCACTGCTTCCATCAGAGCTCTCAGGCAGTGCTGCTGCTTTAACTCAGCTCTCTGGCAAAGCCTTTCTCGCTGTGAAATGTAAATTCAATCTAAATCTGGCAACCTTGGCTCGCTCCAGAAAAGCAAAAAAACCTTCCAAGCAAGTTTGCCAAGCAGCAAGAAATAGGGTGAGAAGGATTGGGAGAGATTTTCAGAGATGACCAAGGGGAAAAAAGCACAATATGCAGCCAYAGGTTCTGCTCACCAGGACTTGTCTTAGGCAGAAAATGAGCTCYCTGCTTAATGAAGGATTTGAAGCTTAGTGCAAACACTGTAATGAGGAGTTTAAAGGGARCCGTGCCATTCACTGGATCTTGAACATTTTGTTGCATGCACGGAGACAAAACACTGACTTACTGCCTAGATCTCGATTTTGTGGCTTTAAAGTGGAAAATTATATCTTTTGTTCAGAAAAAAAGAAAGAATTCAAGTTGGTGCCTTGTAAAGCAGACTTGTAGAGCTGGTACTGAGAATTGCAGCACCTCACTCTCCTTTGCACCCACAGAAGAGCATTTTTTGCTCATTCTGGGGCTCAGAGATGCTGTTCTGAGGCTCCACATTTGTTTGCTGTAGAAAACACGTTTCTGAGGAGAAGTCTGCAAACACCTCTACATGATTTTACACTGAAACGGAGCTGTTGCATTTGCTTGTTAAAGATACCCCAAGGAAAAGGTTGGATTTGAATCATCTTTTTGTTGTGGTAAATACTGACTGCCCACCCCTTTTAGTCCTGGAAATAAGGGGTGGGAGTGCTCCTTCTGTGCCCCTGTGGCACAATCCTTYCCTCTGGTCATTCTTCCCACMGCTCAGATTCATGAGCTGGGGCTGAAAAAGAATCCCCTCCGGTTGTTTGGAACAGATTTCCTCCTGGACAATCCGGTGCTTTTTAACAGTGGAAGTAGAAATAAACAACCACATAAATAAATGTAACAGTAACCCAGTGGGCCTGAATAAAACATGGAATAATCACAGAATGGTTTGGGTTGAAAGAGATCTTGAAGATCATTTTGTTCCAGGGGCAGGGAGAAATCTCAGGTTGTGTAGMAGGAGTGGACACAGAGTTGTGTGAAATGATTCTGTGTGAATGTTGAATGTATGGATATTGCCTGCAAATCAGAGTCCTGGTTCTGGGGCTCTGTTCCCATCAGGTCCCTGCTCTTCTGTCCCAAATCCCACAAGTTCTTACCTGAAGAGCTTCTGCATGTTTTTCTCCAATCCTGCACAGGCACTACGGGAGGTTTGGAGGGATGAGCACAGCCATGCAGATGTTCTGGCAAAGGTGGAGGAAAGGATGTGGAATCACCTTGTGCTGCTGCAGGGCTGTGTTCCAAAACTGCCCCATCACAAACATTTCCCTCTGCTCCCCTCAGCCCTCTGCACCATTTCCCTACTGCTGGAGATCAAGCAGGGGCTCTCCTGGGCTCCCAGCAATGACAGATGTATTTTCAAATTGCTGGGAGGTCCCACACAAACACAGAATTTCCTGAAAGAAGTGACAGTAACATTTAAATGATACAGCAGAAAAAAGCTGCACAAACCTCCCCCCAGGATTAGTGATGTGCCCACCCAAAGCCTGTTCTCCTGTCCCCAGAGCAGCAATTTGGGGCATTTGGAGCCCTGTGGGGCTCAGGCACTGAGCTGACAGAGCTGGCTGTGTTCACAGGCCCACCCGTGACAGCGAGGATGAGGAGGACGACGAGAAGAAAGGCAAAGGCTGCACYCTGCAGTACCAGCACGCCCTGGTGCGGGTCCTCACCCAGTTCGTGGCCGAATCCGCCGAGCCCGGGGGCCACCTGAGCTTCCTGCTGGGCTCYGAGTGGCAATTTGACATCACTGCCTTGGTGGCCGATTTCATGAAGGTGGARGAGCCCAGGATTGCCCGGCTGCAGGAGGGCAGAGTGCTGGCAGGGCGTGAGCAGGGCATCACCACCGTGCAGGTAACGCTCAGCTGCCATGGATAACTCAGCAATTCAGGGACCTCAGGAAAAATCCACGCGGGAAAAAATGGGCGTGCTAAACAGAAAAGGGAGTTTGAATGGGTTGTCAAGTGGCTTTTTGTCACTTCTATAAAATACCCTTAGGTGAAGGGATTTATCCATTTAGCCAGGGAGGTTTTTCTGGCTGCTGGGACAGGTGACACGAGGCACACAACAGCTCCTTTGAACTTCAGTGGGACCATGGGAGCATAACTGTTGGGATATTGTACCCAATATCTGCCTGTTTCTCTATGTGCTTAATCATCTTTGAGAAATGAGTCCATTTATATTCCCAAAATCMATCACAGAACATGGACACAAAAATAACCTTCAGAAGCCTTTCAGAGTGTTCGTGTTCCCCACCTAACTCTGTCCAGCATCAGAATAAAGGAATACAAACACTGGGGTTCCTCTCAGTGGCTGCAGACACCTGCAATGTTCTGGTCACTCTGGAGTCAGCACAAAGGAACTGAGATTTTGGGGCTCAGCTCCCTTCAGCCTGGAATAAATGGGATTGAGAGGCCAGGGGAGTTCTGCCCTTAAAATGTCTCCTTCTCTCCTGTGACTGTAAGAGCAGGAAGCTCCAGTACAGGGCACGGTGCTGCAGGTTTCTCACGTTGTTTGGACAAATCACACCTCAAATATTTTGGGCTTGAAGCAGCTGTTTCTGTCACCAGTAGAAAGATGAGTGGCTCTTTCTGAGCATGTTGAAAACAAGGTCTGAGAGCAACTGGCAGGACTGTTTTGGCTTTGAAAAATGCAGGCAGGCACCCAGTGGGATTTTCAAAGTTCTTTTGCAGATCTCACTTTCATTTCATTCAGGTCCTCTGTCCCCCAGAAAGGCAACTGGCCAAGTTCCTTTCAGAAGCCTTTGTACACTTATTTATCCCCTCACYGAGTTTCAATGTTAATCAGTGTCTTACACTCTGTCCTGTGCTGCAYTGCATTCACAGGGAGTTTTATAGACCCTGCAAAAATGTCTTTTAAAAAAAACAAATCCATTTAATTTATTCTATATTATATATATTTTGTCGAGATGAAGCTGCAGTTTTGAAGTAATTTGTTTTTTTATTAAATTGTTTCTTTTAGATAAAGTAATTTAACAGCAAATAAGTGCAGTGTCTTGGGGGAAATATCAGTCCTGGCTTAGACATGGATGTGACAAAGCCAGGCTCAACCTGTTGTGSTGGTTAGAGGCAAAGCCAGGATTAACTTTGCTTTCCAAGAGTTGTTTGCTGTTTGATGCAAGGGTTTCCTTTCTCCTGGCAGGTGCTGTCCCCTCTCTCGGATTCCATCCTGGCAGAGAAGACAGTGATAGTTCTGGATGACCGGGTGACCATCACGGACCTGGGAGTGCAGTTGGTTTCGGGCTTGTCCGTCTCCTTGCAGCTCAGCAAAGGAAATAAGAGAGCCATCGTTTCCACMACCTCTGCCAACGACATCCTGCACACTCCCAAACAGGTGGGCTCCACAAAAATAAATCCAATTTCTGTGTTTGCTTCGTCAGAAGGTGCTCATTGTATTACACAAAGCACTGCAATTGCAGCATTAGAGACATTCCACATTATTGGTCCTTTACAAAACTAATTAACCATGATGTTGGAAATATGATTTTTTCATCATGAGGCTCTGGCATTCAAAAGAGGCTTCTCATTTCAGACTGAGAAAAAAGAATTGTCAGTTGTGTTTTCAGCACTTCTATTAAATGTACATGTCTTTCTTTGATAGTTTCCTGAAGATGAGGTAAATGCCTCAGCGGTCTAGAGAACACAAGCCTGCAATAAAATGAGAAGCATTCGGACATTTATATTTTCTTTAGAAAAACCAAAACGAAACAAAAAGAAACCCCAAAGTTAAACTTTGTATTTATTCTGCCAATGTCGAAAAGACTTTAACAGCGGACTGTCTGATCTGTGCTCTCTCTCTCACACATTTTTCTTTTCCCCTCGTCCTCTCCCCACCAGGAAGCCGTGGTTAGTGCCTGGATTCTGTTCAGTGACGGGTCGGTGACTCCATTAGACATCTACGACTCCAAGGACTTCTCCATCTCCATCACGTCCCTGGATGAGATGGTGGTGTCGTCCCAGCAGACCCTGCAGTCCCTCTGGCCGGTGGTGGTGGCCGAAGGGGACGGGCAGGGACCCCTGATTAAAATCGAGATGGTCATCAGCGAGCCCTGCCAGAAAACCAAGCGCAAGAGCGTCCTGGCTGTTGGCAAAGGCAACGTCAAAGTSAAGTTTGGTCAAAAGGATTCCGACCAAAAAGGGAGCTCCAATGACATCGAGGACGTGGAGAAGGATTTTAAAAGCCATGCGAGCAACGCCATCGAGAAAGCTGCAGAACAAGACAGGACAGCACAAGACTGGTCCAAAACCCACGAGGACATGGSCGGTCCTGAGGACAATGCAAACAAAAGCACAACTTTCATCTCTCCCGTTGATCAGGAGTCCCTGGAGGATGGGCAGCTCCAGAATAACCCAACTGCCTTCACGGRTTTCCCTACCCAAGTAGAAATACCGGGAGAGAACAATCCCAGCGATCTGTCCTTGACTTCCAGAGGACTGACGGATCTGGAGATYGGCATGTACGCTCTGCTCTGCGTTTTCTGCCTGGCAATCCTGGTCTTTTTGATTAACTGCGTGGCATTTGCTTGGAAGTACAGGCACAAAAGGTTTGCTGTGAGCGAGCAGGGCAACATCCCCCATTCCCATGAYTGGGTCTGGCTTGGAAATGAGGTGGAACTGCTGGAAAACCCAGTGGACATTTCGCTCCCGTCGGAGGAGTGCACCACCATGATTGACAGAGGGATGCAGTTTGAAGAAAGCAACTTTCTCCTTAATGGGAGTTCTCAGAAGACTCTTCATAATCATATCCTCAGATCTTCTGAGTACCTTTGTGAAAAAGAAGTTAAAAGTGAACCTATAAATCCTTCTGGGCCAAAGCAGAAGCGAGTAAAGTTCACTTCATATACAACAATACTGCCGGAGGATGGAGGCCCCTACACCAACTCAATTCTATTTGACAGTGATGATAATATTAAATGGGTATGCCAAGATATGAATCTTGGTGATTCCAAGGAACTTAGGGACTATATGGAAAGACTGCAAGACAATATGTAAAACTTCTTTCTTATGTTTGTAATCACCTTTATGCCTTCTGTTTACGGATGGTGGAGCAGTCAGTCCAGTCAGCAATAGGAAACAAGACAGTCCAAGCCTGGAGTCACTGAGATGATAACCTGCTATCAGAGAGCAGGTACAGGAGGCTGGCTGAGTAAATCCTGTTTCACCACAAACCAGGATGTGCCCCTAAACAGCTCAGTGGGTGTTGGAGGTGTCGCACGCCGTGGCTGGTTTTGTGTACTGCCTGGTACTAGCGAAATGCTGATCCAACTGCGCTCAGACTCAGAGGAGACTTCATTTGTTTGTCATCTCTCATGGGAAATGGTAAAGCGGAAAAGAAAGGGATGTTTGTTTGCATTGATTTTTTTTCTAGTCGTCGTCCTTTGTAAAGCACAGTGGACATTTCTTGCTTACAGCCCGAGAGGAGAAAGGGATCGGAACGAATCTCCTTTTATTGCCTTTGTGCAATGCAGCCAAGTAGTCTTATTATTTTTTACAGATATAAAAAAMCCCACGTGGTTAATTTCCTCTGATATTGTTTGTGAATTTTATTTGACTTAGGGAACATTAAATATTTTCTTTGAAGGGGTTTGGATTTTTTTTTTTTTTTTTGGTTGTACCGAAGTGTAGTACGGTAATATTTATAATGATTTGAGTTTTCTATTCATCTGCTGAGCCCCCAGAGATRCCTCCTTCATCACTGATTATCTTTCTCCTTTCCATATGGGTATTTGGGTCGTTAGCATTTGAAACATAGAAAGGAATTAGCACTCTTACTGGGAGAGGGTTGTGTCTTCTTACAGGGAACTGTAAATATAATAATAAACCCTGGAAAATAAAAATCAAGGMGTAGCCCTGGGTTCACTTTTGTCATTGCTGAAATGAAAAAATAACCTGTAAAAAAACCAGCACATACTTCAAAGGGAAATGCTTTGCTGAAACAGCAGCTTGGTTGACAACAAATGTTATTATCTGAGTGTGAAAGTCAAACGTGGTGGTATTGAAATGCAGAGAACAGGCAGGAAATTTCCTAGGAAATAAGAAAAGCTTGGAGTCACTCTGAACCAATTCATCCATTGGTGGTAGAGTTCAGCAGGCCAGAGAAATTCATGCTCAGACCTCATCTGAAACATCTCTGGCCATAAAATCATCACAGAGAAAACTTCACACCATGTTTCATTGGAAAGGGAAGAAAGATTTCAGCAAGGAAAACATGCCATTTCATACTCATTACATGGATTTTTTTACTGAAGGACGACTGAGATAAGTTGAAAATTACAATTAGGAAAAGCCTGAATCTACAGAATGCTTCAACCCCAAAAAAGCATGTGTTCTCATGATGGATCCTGTGCCACAAACACAGGAGCCAAATTACAACWGCCTTACGTACTGGAGTTCCCATCTTTTAGAGATCAATGCAGGATTTGAGTTTATAATTCAGTGATATTGGAGCAAATCAGGTAACTCTGGGAAATTCTGCATTTGGGTCTTAATCCACAGCTGGGAATGTGTTCAGTGTAACCACTGCAAAATCCAGGAATTTTAGCATTGAGATAAAAGTGAGGACACCAGGCTTATRTAAGTGATGAGAGCCTTCCTTTTGCTGGCACTGAGCTGCACAGGGAGGGGATGGCATCTGTTGGAATCTAATTTTAAGGAGAGGAAATAATAGAGCACAGAAATGCTTCTGTTTCRTAAGGGATGCAGCACTTGTGCGTCAAATGAAGGCTCAGGTTGTTTAAAAAATGTTCTCTCCCCTTTAAATGATCAGGGAAATGAGGAAAGATGAATTCCTACAATGATCGTCACCACTAAAAACATGAAAACCCCTTGTTAGAATTTGATTT